AGGGAGGGTCAAACCAGTTGAGTTGCCAAGAGTTCCATGTCTGGAGCTCTCAGCTCTTGAGTAAAAATCCAGTAAGCTCAGGGCAAGGGCTCCAGTTTGGACAGGGATCACAGCAGACAGCTGAGCTTCCTCTCTCCCCTGCGCCACTGTCCTGGTCTGAAGCCGCTCTGGGGCGTTGCTGTTTTGCCCTGTTGGGAAAATGTGAAGAGACGGGTATTGTATGCTTACCCCCAAGACCAAGAGGCCAGGTAACTGTTGCCTGGAGATGTTTTAGGTCAGGAGAATGGAAGGGAAGGGAGCAGCTTCAATCACACTCCCCTCATGTTGCGGTCTCGATCCAAATTAGGACTTCACAACTTGATAATCGAATTTGGGGGGAAATGCTAAGAGGATTTCCAACTTCTCATCTGGTTTGGCCCTGCTGCACCAACAAAATACATTTTAAGATTTTAACATCTTCCAGAGGTATGTATTTGAAAGTCCACATGGAAGTTCACTTAATTCTTCTGTAAGATTTCCCCAGATCTATTTCCCACAGCAGAAATCATCCCACAAGGTCCTCTATGATGACATGGTATAAAAGAAAGGGTCTCAAGGCGGTCGGCATCCATGGAACCCCAATGGTGGGGAAGCCATAGCTTTTTGCAAGACAAAAACTGCAGCTTTATAATGGAGAAAGTCAAACCGTGACCACGCAATCTTAAATTATAAAACATATCACATATTGTGAGCAAATCCTTTGAGAAGGACACTGAATGATAACAGGCCCCCAAACCCTCGCGTCCAGGAAACTGGTTGTTACTGAGGCTACATTTTCTGATTAACATAACACCAAGCCAGTGTGGACAATCACAGTTAGTGTATCCTGTAACCAAATGTCAGTTTCTCACACGGTTTGGCATGCAGCCAAGTGAGCAGTCAAGTGAACAAACTGCTCTGCGAGAGCCGCCATCTTGCTTTTAACACAACTGGTGGCTTTGGATGCCATTTTAATGGGGGGAGGGGACATGTGAAAAATAAAGCAAACAAGGTTTAAGAAGCAATATGACAGCTTAAAACATGTTAACAACTTCATTAAGTCGCAGCCTATGAATAAAGTGTTGTGACCTATACAAGTATGTCACAGAAAATACATACTTTTAGTCCAGACAACACGCCTCATTCAGACAATTACTGATGCTTTTATTTGGCCACTTGTCAGTGACTGATAGATCCTGAGCTTTTTCTTCTCTTTTTGGCAGGCACCTAAGAATACTTGCCCAGAGGTACGTAGGGCAACACCACTCTTGATAAGCAGGAACAGAGGCAGATTCGTTTTGATTGACCCCTGCACAATCACACACTCCCTTCCAGAAGACGAGGCACTAATGACACTCTCAGGATTCTCCCATCACCTTCTGACACTGGTAAAGTAAACAGTCTGGAAGAGCAGAACATGGGGACCTGAACCACAGGACCAGCATCCCAGAGTGGATACGGCAATGCAGTAAGCCAGGGACCGACGGAAGCAGCCTGCAAGCTGCTATTCCCTCATTTCCTAAAAAGAAGAGAGAGATGACCTCCGTTAAATTATAAAAGAGGTTTGGCATGGTAATATACACTTCTTTTCATACATAGTTTCTACTATAATCTTGATTAAAGAATTGCATTAAACCTCAAATGCATGCCTTACTTAGTAAAGCAATGTATGCCTGTGGGGAAAGGAAAAGTCATGACTCCTCCTTCCCTACAAGACTAAAGAGATGCTGGAAAGACTCTGTCTCGGATTCAAAGAGCAACTCGTTCAGCATGCGCAAGGGCTCTTTGGACGTGTTTGTCAAAATGCCACATGCACCACCTCCCGGCTTATTTCGACACTTTAGGGAATTTCAGAAAGAGTTTTGTGAGATGCAGGTTTGAAATCCAAAAACTCCAGTGGCTTACAGAAACACTGCCATACGTGTACCTGCGAGATAACACACACCCCGCCCAAATCAGTCAACCTGTTTTGTTACCGTTAAGTCACAGCTGACTTAAGGTGACCCTGTGGGGTTTTCAAGGCAAGAGTCATTCAGAGATGGTTTGCCATGGCCTGCCTCCTCTGCATCACGAACCTGGTATTCTTGAATGGTCTCCCCTCCAAATACTGCCCAGGGCTGATCCTTGCTTAGCTTCTGAGATCTGATGAGATCGAGCTAGCCTGGGCCATCCAGGTCACAGCAACTTGTTTGCCTACATGTTCTCTACACCACTCTTCCCTCTGGGAAAGGTGTTAGCTGTCAGTTGGGAACGTCCTGGTCCAGGATACGGAAGGCGGAAGATCTACTCAGCTACGAAAAATCCCTGCAGTGGGATGCTCCGGCCAGGCAGTGGCAGTGTGGCGACACGACATACGGGTCCTGAAGCCCCAACATCATCAAGCCGGTCGACGCAGCCGTTCAGAACATGACTGAGCCAAGCCAGAACGTTTCCACCGTGCAGTTACAGCGTGTGCAATTAAATGAATTATATGTTGTCTTCCCTATCCCTTATGAAAACATTGTTAATCCCTGTAAATCACTAGTAGTTAGTAACTGTAAATCACTTTGAGCCTACTTGTGGGGAAAACGATTAATAAATCGAAAGCATTATTATTATTATTATTATTATTATTATTATTATTATTATTAAACTGATAGGAGTTAAATCATGGGGGGGTGTTTTAAAATCTATTTCACTGACTACTTTAAATATGTATTAAGGTACAGTTACCAACTTGGATCATAGGTGCTGCAAACTGGAAGATGCCCCAAGTTACTTACCTATGATATCCACAACATGTAGCTTCAGTTTTTGCTGCAAGGTGTTTAAAATGACTGATAAAGATTCCTGAGATGATGTCAGTTTTAGGTTTTGTTTGACATCATTAGAAAAGGAGAGCCACAGTTTTCCAAATTCTTCAGTGGTCATTTTCATTGGCCTGGGAAAGAGCATAAGAACATAAGAAGAGCCCTGCTGGATCAAACCAGTGGTCCATCTAGTCCAGCACCCTTTCTCACTCAGGGGCCAGCCAGTTCCTCTGGAGGGCCAACAACAGAGCACAGAGCCTTCATAAGAACACCAGAAGAGCCCTGCTCGATCAGACCAGTGGTCCATTTAGTAAGGCATCCTATCTCACACAGTGGCCAGCCAGTTCCTCTGGAGGGCCAACAACAGGGCAGAGAGGCTGAGGCCTTCCCCTGATGTTGCCTCATGGCTCTGGGATTCAGAGGATTAGTGCGTCTGAACGTGGAGGTTCCCTTTAGTCACCATGGCTAGTAGCCACTGATGGACTTAATCCTCCATGAATCCAAAGATTTTGTCAAGACAAAAAAAAAATTGTATAGTATTTTGAATTAGTTAAAAAAAAAAAATCTTGCCCAATCACTAGAAAACATAATATATATGAACTTTTTAAATGTTAAGCAATTAAAAAATTAGCTTGTTCATTATGAATTGAAAAGTCTAAAAATTAAAATCCTTTATACATGATCCTGCTATGAGACCAAAAACAGAGAACAGTCTGGGGATTCCTTCTTTTACAGCCTCAGACCATTGACATTTATGATACATGGGAGAGTCCCTTAGTTTTGGCATAAACTGAGGAAACTTGGGAAACCATGCATGCAGGTACACCTGATGTACACAGAGCAACAACTAATATGAAGTTGAAGAAGTAATTCAGATCAGCATTGATTACTCGACTGCGCTACAACTATACTTGTTAAGCAAAACCACTTATTACCTGATAAAATCCAACAGCACTAAAGTTACTGAAAACCTGAGACACGTCTCCAGTTCTAGATGGTAACTGAGGGATCCAGACAGCATTCCCTCTGAGCAGAGCTCCTCCGTGGCTACACGCTTCTGGGTGCTCTCTATGCTCTGAGCTTCTATTTCAGCAAAATGGCAGCCAAGATTTTCAGAGATCTAAAAAAGCAAAGGGGAGGGGGATGAACCAAGAGGATTCAGAAGGTGTGTTGTTTTTTGAGTTGGTTTGGTGTTTTTTTTTAAAAAAAACACCAGGTCTTTCTTTCAGAAGGAAATGAAAACACAATCACTAAGGAAATCATAAACCATTCATCTTGTTACCTTAAAATGTTTGGAGTGTTCAAATTCCAGCTGTACATCTTTAAGTGTAGAGAGACTTTTATTGGCAAGAAATACAAAAAGTATGAAGCTGTCCTCTTTCCATATTTTACACAAGTACAACGTGACGGTTTCGTTGCCACAAAGTTCTAAAATCTCCGAATGAGGGTATTTGGCTACTTCTTGTGGTAAGAAAGGCGTCAAAGAGAGTTGCTTTTTGACTACAGGATGAGTGTTCGGAGAAGGCTGGAAAATCTCCATGTTCCCATCCGCAAACAAAGATAAAGGCGAGAATCTGCAACCCAGAAGCTTCTCACCCAGTCCAGCTTCTGGCAGAGAATGAGACCGATCCAATACGACCTTCAGTTCTGGAGCTTCAGAGGAATTCAGCGAAGCTTTCCGTAATCTTGGGTGCCCATTCTTTTGGAAGGGCTTTTTGTTCCAAGGTAATGCATCGGGCGAAGGACTGAGGGGCGGGCTAGCAGTGTTTCTGATTCTGAATGACTCCTCACTATTTTGGGATTCGCCCGTTTTAGATTTCCTTTTGAACTTCTGGGTGGTAGAGTCTCCTTTGCCCATCTGAAAGCAGACAAATAAGAAGAGAAGAGATTAGAGAGACTCAAGTGTCAAGAGACAGTGTGGTTTAGTGGTTACAGTGACAAACGAGAATTATTATTATTATTTATATCCCACTTTTCTCCCTGATTGGGGACCAAAGGCAACTTTGGGAAGCCCATGTTCAAATCCTCGTTCAGCCATGAAGCTCACTGGGAGACCTCATTTTATTTACCGAAACATTGTTATGGCCCCGGTCACACGGAACATTAGCCACGCTAGAGAGACGGAAGATAGGCAGATTTTCTGGGCGCGATCTCACCGCCACATCTGGGAAGCGTAGAGCTCCCGTGGCTCACCCAAGGCTTCCCGCTGAAGATGCGGGGTAAAAAACTAGTACCTCCGAGGTAGTAGTTTCCGGTAACCGCGGGGCAAGGGCGGGCGTCTGATCGCGTTTCCGGTGGCATCTGGCGCCCGCCCATGTCCCCTTGCAAAAAGGTGTTGTTTTTTTCCAAGTCTCCATGGATGCGCACAAGCACCCAACGGAGCATGCGCATACTTTGGTGTACAAACAAAAACAAACCCATTTGCCACGCCGCAGGATTGTCCTATGATCGGCACCTCCCCCCTACCCACGGGACCTCCACGGGACGTCTGATCACGCAACCGCGCGTTATTTTGCCCCGGGGCAAACAGCCACGCCTCCCCCCCCCCCGGCGATATTCGGCCCGTGTGACCGGGGCCTATGCTGCCTTTCCACCCCAATCGGGTCCTCAAGGCTGCAAACATCAAAGTATTTCAACATTAGAACAGCATTTAAAACAACATACAAAATAATTCAATAAAAAAACATATAAACATATAACCCCAAAACCAGAGTGCAGGGTCAAGAGTCATTAGGGGAAAGGAAACAAAAAAGTCTTCTCCCACCGCATCTCCCTGGGGAGAGAGTTCCAAAATTTCAGTGCCATGACCGAGAAGGCCCTGCCTCAGGATACCACCCATCTAGCCTCAGACAGCAGGGGCACCCAAAGGGGTCTCCAAAGATGACCGCAGAGGACGGGTAGGTTCATAAGTCAATTTCTTATAAACTTAGGCAGGATACAAATGAAATAAATAAGATGGCAGGACAAGTAGCAGGAACTGTTTCAGAATCTTTAAAGGGGATGTAATGGAGGTTTTGAGCACAATGCCAACTGGACTGGCTCACCTCCAGTAAGAAACACCAGGATCAGGCCCATGTGACAATCATCTCTCTTGATTTTTTTACATTTTTATTAAGGGGGAGAATGACATAGGTTACAGAGAACGGGAAACAGTAAGCCATGTGCTTGCTAATGTTTCCATTCCTTGACGAAGCTGCTAAGCCGCAAGCAGGAAAAGGCTCAGATATGGACTCACCTGGCCCATAGCTACGGTGGGGCTATTCAGGGTTCCGATCCCTTTCTTAAAGGGACAGGCCCACAAGATTTTTGCACTTCTTACTCATTTTAAAACTTTTTTTTCAAGGCACACACCAAGAACAGAAGCCAGGCGGAATGAGTCACACGTTCCTTTAAGGGCAAACCAGCCCCCCCCCCCAGTTTCAATCGCACATCCAGCTGTGTATGCATTAAACAAACATGAGAATTACTCGCTGCACGTGGGGTGCTTTTTGGGGAGTGTTTACGCAGTCCTACCAGGAAAGAAATTTGCCCCACAAGCCTCAAAATCCTGGCTATGGGCCTGGGAGTCATGCAGGGGGGCTTTGCGTCCACATTTTCAGCTTTTTTTCAGCAGGAGAAATATGCAGACATCATCCAGATGCAAAGAGCTACTTCGGGTGAGCTCAGGGGCTCACATTCACTTTTCTCCCATGCAAACTATTGATGCCCAGAACAAACTATTTTTACAACTCCCCTCAATTCCAGAAGGCTTTTGGCAGGAGGAATTGCTATTCCCCATCCCATGCAACTGAACAGGTTTCTTTTTAATACATGGATACATCGGAGTGGTGAGTTCAGAGCCCGAGTCTGAAAAACGTCCACTCAGCAGCAGTAAATATCCTCAGATTTACTGAAACGCTGCCTAGGGCTGCTTGCTGCTGCTGCTGCTGCTACAAAGTTTTAGAGAGCTCTCGTACCAGGCTGACGTTGCCCTGGAGTCCCAGGCCAACAAAGAGCGTTGAGGCAAGTTGCTGCTTCTCCTTCTCCTCCTTGGAGAGGCTGGTAATCTCTTGCTCAGACTGCAAGGCGAAGTTACCGACTGTACGCTCCACAGATGTGCTGCTCTCTGCGGTGTGCTTTACGCTATCTTCTTTTTCCACCAGGCTTTCCTTTTTGGGGAGGTAGCCTTCTTTTCCCCATAGCTTCTTCACACCTTCAAGCTTCAGACTGTTGGTCCTAAAGAATATGCAATTACGAAAAGTCAGCACAGGGCCTAGAAGGAAGCTTGAAAGAGGACCTTTTCTGTAGGACCAACTGAGAAAGTTGGAGACCAACCAAATTTAAAGGAACCTTGGCATGGGGGAGGGGGCCTCAACACCTTATTGCCATGGATACGCGGTGCAAGATAGGAGTTACTGGGGTGGATTCACCTATTCTCCAGGCTTCCTCCAACTTAAGTGGCTCTTCTGCAATGAAAGAGCCACTTAATCTGGAGGCAGGCTTCAGATTTGAGCCCGAACGGAAGATGGGGTATAAATATTTTAAAAAAACAAAAAACTTTGCTCAGTGGATTGGTAGAGTGGGGGCAGGATCCACCCCAATGACCCCCACATAAGCTATGAAACTAACTTTTTAAAAAAACAAGCATTTTGCACTTTGACTATTAAACTCAGCACGAGCGCTTACATATTTCATTACAATATTAAGATAACGTAGAGGTAATGTGAATTATATTACTTGGTTAGTACAGTAGGAAAAAACTGTAATCAGCTCATTTATCTGTTAAAATGTTTATACCCTGCATTTTTTTCTACCACAGAAACATGGGTGTGAATGACTATTGTGAAGTCATTTTTATTTCTGAACTAGCACAGCCATTATATTTTGCAGAACCAGTATTTCACTGCTGCTTCATTAATATTTTTTTCCTCACTGGTCATTCTAATTTTATTACTGCTGATCTGGATTGCACTTTCGCTGCTGTTTGGCTGATTGCTGTTTTGTTATTTGATTTACTTATATCGAGAGCAACCTTGTTTTGGAGAGGCAACAAAGAACGTAAGAGAAGCCAATGTTGGATCAGGCCAATGGCCCATCCAGTCCAACAATCTGTCACAGTGGCCAAAAATACCAGGTGCCATCAGGTCCACCAGTGGGGCCAGGACACTAGAAACCCTCCCACTAGAACACTAGAAACCCTCCCCAAGCACCAAGAATACAGAGCATCACTTGCCCCAGACTGAGAGTTCCTATCTATACCTTGTGGCTAATAGCCACTGATGGACCTGTGCTCCATATGTTTATCTAATTCCCTCTTGAAGCTGTCCATGCTTGTAGCCGCCACCATTTCCTGTGGCAGTGAATTCCATGTGTTAATCACTCTTTGGGTGAAGAAGTACTTCCTTTTATCTGTTCTAACCTGACTGCTCAGCAATTTCATTGAGTGTCCATGAGTTCTTGTATTGTGAGAAAGGGAGAAAAGAAATGTGAGAGGGGGGTCCATGTGTGTGGGCAAATAATACATCTTTGCCTCTACACCTAGCAAATAACCAATGGAGAAGGAGATTAAAATCAAGCAAAAAAGAAGAGTACTCACTCCTTCTGTCCCACCTCAGCACTGTTACCAGAAATGTCAGAACCCAGAGAAAGTCCAGTTGGAGACTGTCTGCCAGGAAAGCCAGATGTTGAGAAGCTCTGGGAAAGCGACAATCCATAAGGTTCAAAATTCAGAGCTGCAAATACAGATTATTTACCCATCAAAACAGATCACAAGAAAATTACAGAAAAGAAGCAGTTTGTCATCGATGGTATACCTACAGAACAGTTCACACTCAGCATCCTACCAATAATAGAGCCCGTATTGTGTAGTGGTTAGTGTCAGACTAGAATCTGGGAGACACAGGTCTGAAACCCCACTCTGTCATAGAAGCGTGCTAGGGTAACCTCGGGCCATTCACATCCTCTCAGCCTAACCCACCTTGCAGGGTTGTTGTTGTGAGGATGAAAGGAGAATGATGTAAGCCACTCTGGAACCCCATTGGGGAGAGAAAGTATAAATGAAATAATAAAAATATAATAAAAACAAATAATTTTTGTGCCATGGTTTTAAAATCATGACACTTTTTTGAATTCACATTTGTTCTTGAGAGACACCTACAATAGCAGAGTGAGAACTGCTCGGAAATTTTTGTTTAGACAACAATGTCTTTATTTGATGGACATATATCAAAACGAGTTCAATATTATAATGACTCACAGAGTAGAATTAAGCACATCTTGCATATACCAAAATAAATTCCTTCAACTGAAACCTGAAGAACCATTTAATAACAAAGGCAGTCTCTGATAATCTGCTCACCCAGTATTCTGATAAATGCAGACTGCAAATACTGATAGTCTTATGTGATAAGTGAGAAAGGGTTTTTTTAATTTTGTAATATATGAAAGTGTGTGCACGTTCTACTGCAGGTACATAAAGGGGAAATACATATGTACACAAAAGTCTGTAATTGCAGTACAAAATTCATACAACCATTCATAAAGAGGCTCAACATCGCAGTGAAAAAATAATAACAAAGAACAAAGCAGTTAAGAACTGACAGCTGTGGGTTAGAGACCTCTGTTTTCTCTTGGAATTCTAACAACAGTCTGAGCTAGCCGCCGGAAGGATAACCAAAGAAGACTGAAGAACCAACTGTGAGAAGAGAGAACTGAAGAACAGCAGCCATTATGAAATCTACGTCACTAGCACTTTACTATACCGTGTGGTCTAAATGGTTTTAGAATTGTTTTAATCTGATTTATATTCTATGTTTTATTGTAATCTATGTGTTGGCTTTATGTAAGCCGCCCTGAGCTGGCCTTGGCTGGGAGGGCAGGATCGAAATCCAATAATAAATAAATAAATGGTTACTGTTACCTGTTCTTCTGGATCCTCCAGGCAGCTAAGCTGCTTGGACCCCACAAATACCCCTTCCATAGGATTTGCCACTACCTAGGGATTTTAGGTACGTTTCTAGGCCAGCCAATTATTTACCTTCTGTGTGAGCCTGCAAAATACAGATCCCACCTTCTACCTCCTTTCTCTCTCAGCGGGTAAAGCGGGCTTGAGTAGCCAGCGCACACATGAAATAATCCAGAGAAAACACTCACCTTTTTCCTGAGACAGCTGCTCCTCCTGTCTTTGGTGATGAGGTTTATATGGTGCTGCACCCCGGCCAAGTCCTTCAGCTACAAACCCATCTAGGAAAGACAAGGAAGCATCTACCTATATTGAATTAGAGCAACAGTTTGAAATCTGATTAAGGTACAAAGCACTTCAGGTCAATAACACCCTGCCATATAAACCCAACCTGTTGCTATCCAGAAGCTCCTGTGCTGATGCTACATCCCATGCGCACGTTTCTTTCCCATGAGAACACTTAGCTAGTCTAACATTCATTTTAATGATTCATACAGATAAGGCATCAATTTGAGCAGACAAACAAGGAAACAGAGATGGCATACAAGGACACGCCTGGCCAAATCTGAAAATGAGTTCAAGATCTGAAGGTGTGATGTTGTTGTTCAGTCGCATAGTCGAGTCCGACTCTTCACGCCCCCATGGACCAGATCACGCCAGGCCCTCCTGTCTTCCGCCGTCCTCTGAAGTTTGCTCAATTTCATGTTCATTGCATCGATGACACCGTCTAACCATCTCATCCTTTGCCGTCCCCGTCTTCTTTGACCTTCAATCTTTCCCAGCATCGGGGTCTTCTCCAGGGAGTGCTCCCTTCTCATTGGGTGGCCCAAGTATTTGAGCTTCAGTTTCATTATCTGGCCTTCCAGGGAACAGTCAGGGTTGCTTTCTTTTAGGATTGACTGATCTGATCTTCTTGCAGTCCAAGGGACTCTCAAGAGTCTTCTCCAGCACCATAGTTCAAAAGAATCTATTCTTCGGCGCTCGGCCTTCCTTATAGTCCAACTCTCACAGCCATACATGACTACTGGGAATACCATTGCTTTGACCATGCGGACTTTTGTTGGCAGGGTGATGTCTCTACTTTTTATCATGCTGTTTAGGCTCGCCATCGCTTTCCTCCCAAGGGTGTAGAAAATGCAAAAAAAAAAAAAATTCCCCTGCGGGGGGCCCAAAAAAAATCTGAAGGTGTATAAAGAACAGTTTGTGCTTCAGCCCAGGGGAAAGAGGAAGAAGTCAGCATTATTTACGTCACTGGACCAGAAAGATTTCTTATTCCTCAGCACTGGACCAAAGTCATATAGACTCATATTTTAAAAATCTGATTTTTTAAAAAAAGTAATTAGTTTAGCTATATAATTTGACTGAAGAATGATACACTCCTTCTATCTGGGATGGTCAACCTCTTCCACTGAGCGTGCAGCTTCGGGAGGGACGCACACGGAGCAGTGAGGGAGGTAGGGGACACCCGCCTAGCCACCCAGATCCACCGAATCAACCCTGGCGATCAATGGGGTGACAGATGTTGCAGCCAGATCAGCCTCACATCCATAAACGGCATAACCTGAACCTTCTCACTGACACATTTCCCCAATCTGCTGTTTCAGAACCATCATCTCACATCTTGTGTATCAACATTTCTTTCTATCAACAGGGGTATGGTCTGAGATGGCAAGCCACATATCAGACTGCACGGACAGAAAAACCAAATACATTTTTGCTTGAAAAGGTCACCTCAAAATATGGCAGGTGGATCAGATTATTATGATTTCTGTTCACCTTTATTGGTTCTGAGCACCATATAAAGCTAAACCAGAGGGCGCATCTCCTGTTTCTTGTAGGCATGCTGCACAACATGCTCATTGAAGGCATGCACCTCTAACACACGCTAAAGTTCAGCTGAGGCTGGAATAAAAGACTAACTAGCAGCATGTTGCCTCTGGCTGAAACCAGACACATCAATGCTGACCAGTAGACTGTCTTCCCTTAAGACTAACCAGCCACTGGAGATCTCGCCTCTAGTACATGAAAAGGCTGTGCATCCATCTATGGAGAATGAATAAAATATCTCTAAGGGTTTTTTGTTCCAAAGGATGTGAAGTTTAAATGTGGTGCTCTCATCCCTCAAAAATATATATTTTTTAATACTCGATTCTGCAGGGCTCAGCAATAAACAAGTAAAAATACAATACCATTAACTCACCACAATATCCTCACAGCTAGAGTCCACTGGAAACAACTTTCTCATTGATTCTCTGTCCTCACATAAGTTTTTCAGCTCAAAAGCATATTGCCTCATGCAGGTGTCCAAGGAGGTACTGAAGTCCGTTATCAGTTTATCAACTGTTTTAGAACATGTTGTACGAGAAGTTATTTTAGTGATGGCAGCCATAATCCAGGCTTTGGTTTCAGAGGTAGCATTACTCTTAAGTATCCTGTGCAAATTTGCCAAGACAACCTCCGGATCAACATTTTTCATAAGGCAAGAATATTCTCCCAGCACCTGTCTCAAGGAAATTGTTAAACATTATGCTCAGTTTACAAATAATTCACCCCCAACCAGTGTTCCCGCTAAGCTGAGTTAGTGTGAGCTAGCTCACAGTTTTTTAGCCTCCAGCTCACAGATTTTTGTCTTAGCTCAGGAAGGAGGGCTCCAGAGCAAAATCCTTTATGCAGCAGCCAAATCGCTCGATCAGAACTTTGATGCCAGCAGCTCACAAAGTAGAATTTTTGCTCACAAGACTCTACAGCTTAGAGGGAGCATTGCCCCCAACCCAAGTGTTTACATTGGCATTTGAGAAGGGAATATATATAACCAAATCCCAAGAGTTGTGTATGTATGTCAGTCTATCACACACACTGAATACCACCCTGATCGAGAAGACAGGGAGAAAGCAAAATGAGGTTTCAGATTTCAAAATCTTCCTGACCAGTTCTAAGGTCCTGAGAGTTTAAGTGGCATAAATGGGACTCAGCTGTGAATATTCAACCTTCCAAAGCCCATCTGTATACAAATGTAATTTTTTAAAGACGACAATCACTACAAACACAACATGGGTAGCCGCGTTAGCCTGCCTGTAGCAGCAGAAAACATCAAAAGTTCAGTAACACCTTAAAGACTAACAAAATTTGGGCCGGGGTATAAGCATTCGTGAGTCACACTGACTCATGAAAGCTCACACACTGCCACCATTTTTTTTTAGTCTTTAAGGCGCTACAGGACTCTTACTCTTTTCTACAGCTACAAACACAAGCACTTTCTTTAATATAAGACAGGGAATACCCACATTCTTATTACAATCCACAAACCCTTGCTTTGGAAAGCAGACTGCTGCCTTTCAAGCATCTTAAAGACGCAACAGTATATAGGGTTACCATATTTTGAAAAGCAAAAAAGAGGACATTTTTCCCGACTGACTACTTCAAACAAGTGATCACTATGATGACAAATCTCATTTTAAACACCTCCACTATTTAAGCCGTGATCATTGCTACTAGCTAGGAATATTCCTAACCTTCCAACCCAAAAAAGAGGACATTTTCATCAGTTTTTTAAAAAACAGCCCAAAAGAGGATGGGCACACACAGAAAGAGGACATCTGGTAACCCTAATATTATAAACACTGAAATAAGTCCTCCTTAAGTTGCTGTGGTAGCTGAGGCCAACAAGTGCTTAACTATCCCAATGGAAAACAACAGGATTTAAAAGTGCACCGCTTTGGGGCTGACACACGCAGCTTCCTGAAAGCCACAAGACACTGTTCTCCTGTCACTAAAGTGCATGGATCCCAAATGCTGCACTAAACGGGCAGCGATTTGGGCATGAACATCTACTCCCAAGCCTGAGCTCTCAGTTTGGGCGAGCCATCCCTTCTTTGCATGCCTGCGTTCCAGTTCTGAACTGCCTGTGCTGCCACGTTCACACAACTCTTTTTAACATACGCCTTTCCTTACCCAACTCATCACTTGAAGAAATTTCTGGGGGTAAACCGCCTTCTCATTCTGTAGCAACACAAGGTAAGACTGGACAGCATGAAGCCGTAGCTGGCTATCTTCCTGTTCCTCCTCGAATCCTATAAAGCATGTGACAATTCTCTTTTAAGTAGAGGGGGGGGGGTTGCTGGTTAAATAAACAAATGGTGCCATTCATTTAAATACCCAGACCCTCTTCTCCCATTACAGAGTGCAGTATATTTTGCCCACCTTCGGCAAGGAGTCTCAAGAAGCTATTGGGGATGTCTGGGTGCATTTTATCCCCTCCTACAGAAAACACTGCATTCATAGTGCGAATGAACCATTCGTTGTCAGGGGCATATGTGACAGGAATGTTAAGGAAAAGTACATCAACTACCAGCCCATTGTAAGCCATTTCCTCTTGCAGCTTCCGAGACATCTATTCGGATATAAAGATATTAATGAACTAATCAGGGGGATTTATTACTAGAATTATGATTAGGCAACCAAGTGCAAAAATGGTTTCTGCAGACCCCAGCAGAGCGCTCTTCAGCACCTGAACAGCAACTTCAAGTAAAGGCCTGTGAGGGCAACGTTTGTTTTAAAGGCTGCTGCAGAAATATGACAATACGAAATAAGCATTTATGCAGTCATTCCAATACAGGTAAAAAGGATATTTTTCAGCTAGTTCTGCTATTTTGCCAACTATGTTGATGATGGTATATTCCTCCTTGCTTTGGGTCAAGTAGTCGAGCATCTTCTGAACGATGACGGCGACATTCTGCCCATTGGTGATCCTATATAGAAGTTCCAAAGTCTGAAGGAGAAGGCAGACTGGATTTACACATTTCTTTACTTCATTTCTACCCTGCCCTTCTCCCCAGCGAGAACCCAAAGTGGTTTACATCGTTCTCCTCTCCTCCATTTCATCCACACAAGAGCCCTGTGAGGTAGGTCAGGCTGGGAGTATTTATTTCATTCATTCATTTACTTATTTTCACATTTATAGCCCTCTCTTCCTGCGAACTGGCTCAGGGCGGGTAACCGCATATCAGCAATACAGTAAATATAATTAAAATTTTAAAACACAACTGTACAACATTAAAATTGGTGGTCACAGCCCAATTCAGAAATTGAGTGGTTGGGAGAGTTTCTCTGGCCCGTTGATACAAATAAAGGTAAAGGTTTCCTTGCTTGAAAGCCAGTCGAATCCGACTCTAGGGTTGTGGTGCTCATCTCCGTTTCAAAGCCGAAGAGCCAGCGCTGTCCGAAGACGTTTCCGTGGTCATGTGGCCGGCATGACTAAACCCCAAGGCGCACGGAACGCTGTTACCTTCCCACCGAAGTGGTGCCTATTTATCTACTTGCAATTTCTTGCTTTCGAACTGCTAGGTTGGCAGGAGCTGGAACTAGAGACGGGAGCTCACTCCGTCATGCGGCACACTCGGGTCTCAAACTCCTGAACTACTGACCTTCCACAGCCTGCAGTTCAGCGTCTTAACCACTTGAGCCACCGCAGATAAGTATAGCCAGGTATTAATGGATGGGAGACAGGACACCTCAGGGAGGCCATACATTGACACCTGCTGCCTAAGTCAAAGGCCTGGTGGAACAGCACCGGCTCACAGGCCCTGCAGAATTGAAGAAGATCCCGCATATCCCTGATCTCAATGGGGAGCATGTTCCACCAGGCAGGGGCCAGGGCAGAAAAAGCCCTGGCCCTGGTCGAGACAAGACAGACATCCTTTGGGCCAGGGACCACCATGAGATGTTGATCCGTAGAGCATAGTGCTCTCCGGGGTGTATATGGGAAGAGGCATTCCCTCAGATACGTTGGTCCCAGGCCATGTAAGGCTTTAAAGGTTATTACCAGCACCTTGAAGTGAATCTGGAACTCAACCGGCAACCAATGCGGTTGGCGGGGCACCTGCCGAACGTGAGCCCGCACAGGCATCGACGTCAGCAGGTGCGCTGCCACATTTTATACATGACTGTCCCAAGATCAGCCAGCATCCTTCCATGACAGAGTGCGTATTCGAACCCGGGTCTCTCAGATCCTAACCTGACACTGTAACCACTAGACCATTCTGGGTCACCTGATAGTTTAACGGCCTCAATGCAAAATCTGCGATGACATAACTGCAGGCAGTACTGTGAATACTGTAAAAGTCACAGGGCAATATTCCCTGGGCACAAGCTATCAGCTGCACCAAGCGCCAGGAGCCTTTATGCATCAGGTGCTTTAAGAATGAGTTACTTGTGTTATAAACTGTACTTCGATTTTGTGACTATAATAAATATCACACTTGCAGGGAGCACTGATAGGTGTAAGCACAACTGAGAAATGTGCAGTGCCACGAGAGGTACAAATGTAACAGACATCTTGCGTGAAACTGGAGGACCACGTTTGGCAAACCTTTTAGCCTCAGGGGCAGGGCAACCCTGTCCATTTGGATTAGACTTTAAAAATTCCTATCTGTTCCTTGAATAAATTAATCTTCTCAAATATTTTTGTAGGGTTTCTGAAATTAAAAGAGTTCGGGATGCTAGCATGTCTCAAACCTCAGACCTCTTAATATGATACGGCATTCTTTTTCAGAATCTCATCCTACAATACAAAGAACTTAAGGATCCAGGCTTTCATGGGAAGAAAAATTCATGCAAGGTTCTGCCTGTTCACTTCTATCCAACTAGCATTGAAGACTAGACTATAGCCAGATGCCATAACCTTTTGTTTCTGCAGGGGCCTCAGTACACACAGGGCTCCGCCTTTTCAGCAGCAGACCCCAGTTCGTACACGTTTTCTTGACGTGCAGGGATGGGCTGCTTCTACTGAAATGACTGCAGAAGCTTTTACAAGCAAACTTTCCCCTGGCAAATGCTGTGACTTCCCAAACAAATAAATCATGAATGGATCTAGGTGAGCTGTCTTGCAATGCGATCCTAAGCAGAGTTATAGCCTTCTAAGCCCACTGATTTCAATGGATTTAAGAAGAGCGTAGCTCTGTTTAGGAGCGACTCACTGTTACAAGACTGCGAAGTATCAACATAAATATAGCACCGTTTATTTCAGTCAAATGCTAAGGATGAGCAATACTGTTTACAAAGCATCAAATACAGAAGTCTCTCAAATGTAAGGCACTTGTATCTTCAAAGTACAATACTGGCATAAGCTCTGTTAAAGGGAGGGGAATAAAAGGAGAATACCAACTTGAAATTATGGCCGAAGGGGTGTTGGGGGTTGTTATAATTCAGCTTACCTCTCTTTTAATAATGGGGTCAGGATGATCCAGGCACTCGATGATGGTCATTTGGTGCTGCAGCGCCAGGTTCGGATCCTGCTGCACAACGTAAGTTAGGGCCTTTAAACCTAAAGGGGGGGGGAGTTAGCACCAAGTTAGTTGAGTTATTGTCAGCATCAAGTCCCCTAACTGGGCTGTGATAAATCAAAGAACTTACCCAAGTACTTCAAGTTAATTTTTGGAGACAAGACAAATTTTCCAATACATTTGGCAGCCTTCTCAAGTAGATCGGATTTAGGGTATATTGTATAAACTGTCTGGACACATTCAAACAAGATTGCTGTGGGGGAGAAAAGAAAATTGGTAACAAGGGATTTTATCAGAACTTTCTCACAATACAAGAACTCGTGGGCACTCCATGAAATTGCTGAGCGGTCGGGTTAGAACGGATAAAAGTACTTCTTCACCCAAAGAGTGATTCACACATGGAATTCAATGCCACAGGAGGTGGTGGCGGCTACAAGCATGGATGGCTTCAAAAGGGAATTAGATAGGCATATGGAGCAGAGGTCCATCAGTGGCTATTAGCCACAAGGTATAGATAGGGGCTCTGGGGCAAATGATGCTCTTGGTGCTTGGGGGGGTCTTCTTGGTGCTTGGGGGGGTCAACAGTGGGAGGGCTTCTAATGTCCTGGTCCCACTGGTGGACCTCCTGATGGCACCTGGTATTTTTGGCCACTGTGTGACAGAGAGTTGGACTAGATGGGCCTTTGGCCTGATCCAACATTGGCGTCTCTTATGTTCTTATGTTTAACTTTCACAGTTCGTTCAAACAACAGCCATGCCCTCGTTAAGGAACTTCTGCATGGACCGGTTTAGTTTTATGTCTAGCCATCTGTGCCCCGGCTGCATCAGGTCCTCCTTCTGTGTCTTCCCTTACATTGTGCTAAACCAGGGACCACAACGTGGAACCCGTGGAACCTATCCGGAAGCCCACCAAGTGTTCTTAGAAAGTGGGTGGGGTTTTCACCCAGCAGGTCTTCTGATCAGCCACTGGAGATCTGATTGGCTGTGCAGGTATTTCAGAAGCTGCTTCAGCAACAGCTGCCCTCGCAGCACAAGGATCTTCACTGTGTTACTGCGTGTGTGTGCGTGCAAGAAAATATTTTTAAGCCATATGTTCATTTTAAAAAGCATCCTGCTAAACAGAGCTGCTGCCTGAAATATTGAAGCGTTTCTGTTAGGGTTATGCATAACCTCAATCTGTGACATTGCGGCAGCTGTTTTGTTGTTGGCTCCGCCTCCATTTTTGTTCTTGCACCCTGTGTCAAAACTCCAAATGTGCCCACAGGCTCTAAAAGGTTGGGGACCCCTGTGCTAAACTGAAGCAGGCACTCATGAAACAAACATTACTTTCCTATCACCTCCCCACCCCACACTGATTATATGGCCAGCTCTATTTTCCTTACTAACAACACAGGCTAAAGAACACACATGAAGCTGACTTAGTATTGTCTATTCAGACTGGCAGTGGCTCTCCAGGGTCTGGCAGATGTCTTTCACATCACCAAGTTTACCTGGTCCTTCCAACTGGAGATGCTGGGAAGGGGACTGAACCTGGGACCTTCTGCAAGCTGAGCATTCAAAGCAGATGCTCTACTGCTGAGCTGTGGATCTTCCCACAAACTTATTAATAACGCCACAAGAACGAATTAATACAGCAGCTAGCAAGCTAATGGACAAGGATGGCAGGGGAAATAGGCATCAAACGATTCATCAGGTGGAAAGCTTTGAAGAGAACCCCCACATTTCCCAAGTAAATGATGAAGCTCACCTCTTTTAAACATTGCAAACAACTTGATTCACAGCGAAATGCAATATATTTAAAGCACTGAAAACTTTGTTTATACTGGTGCAAAGGGCTGGAGAGGTTCAGAAGCTTTTATATGCTGCACATGCCTTATTTGCACTTTCTACATTACACTGCCCAGAAGTAACCTCTGTGTTTGACAAGTTAACGTTAAAGTCCTAAACATCTGCTCGCTGTATAAAGTCTGCTTATTGGGCATGAATGTCACCACTCACAATGCTGAAGAGGCAGACCAGATACTTGTCTGCCAGACTTGGAACAGGATTCATTGTGGCTCTATAGCTTTCAAGTTTTAACAGCATCCAACAAAACAAGTTCAACTGTTCTTGGCTATTTCTTGAACTTTTCTATGAAGATTACACTTTTTGTGTTTGCTAAACTGCGTCGTTATCAAGGGGGCATACACGTGGGGTCCTTGATGGTCTCTCATCCAGGAACTGAACAGAACCTACCCACCATAAGCTTTGGGAGCTTCCCAAGCATACTATCAGATTTTACATCTAGGATTATTATTTAAAAGGATGTTTTACCAATGCCAGCAGGTTACATTTTCTACACATACGGAGGAAAATGTTCTCACCTACCATATGTAATGTTGTGATTTATCTCTGCTCTCCTTAAAGACTCATCCAAAACATCATACATTAATTCACTGGTTCTGTAAAAAAATATGGAAATGTCTAAGAACAGTTGATTTAAAAAAAAAAAGACATAGCCTTAAGATCTCAATCTTATATAAAGACACCTTTATTTTCTGACAATTATTCACTACTGAGAACAAATGAGATCATGGTCTAATCATTCTAATGTCTTAATAGGCAATGAGCAGAAAAGAACCTGAGAAGGTTTATGGTGTCAGTGGCTGTAATCCAGAATTCCAGCTAAAAATTAAGAATTCTGCAAAGCAAAAACCAAGCCATGCATTATGTGCATTCTTAAAAACTGCCATTAAACCCTTACAATTTTGTCTTTGGATGGTGATGTTTCTTCCCCAATATCCCTGAAGATTCCTGTGGTTTGCACCTAGAGCTAAGAAAACAGCACACCCAGGGAACACCACTGATAAAATGCACACCCCTTCAAATGGATGCTCATGTTCAAAATGCTCAAAGCAAATAAGAGACAGTTTACCCCGGATCATCTTTTCCAAGTAGCCCCAGTATTCTTAAAAGCTGAATTTGTAGCCAAGGTGCTGGCACGTTGTGATAATTGAAGTCTATGGGGAGCTTTCCTCCCACCACCTGCTTTAGAATAGCTACGAAACTGCTTGTCAGGTCTTTGTATCCAGATGCATTCTCCTACAGAAAAAGGGGGGGGGGAGATCCAAGTTTTACACAAAGTCCTACACAAAACATACATAACAAAAGCAATCACTATTAATTTTTCAATTCCTGAGTTTGCACTCTCAAGTTAAATGGTCCCCTCTCCAATTTTCAACACACAGCTGATATAAGCACAAACTATGCACATGACATTGGGGGTTTTACTTGGGGTTTTAATTGTTAATGTTTTAATTATGATTTGTAAGCTGCCCTGAGCCAAGAGAAAAGGCGGAATGTAAATATTTTAATACATCTTTTTTTAAAAAAAATAATCTGAGCATTCACAAACACGCCACAGAGGCATCACTTAAGATCAGACAGTTAATGCCCAAAAGCATCAAAGTTCAGGGAAAAGGTAATCCATTGCTATCATGCACTATATTTCAATTCTTTTTTTCTGATTCACTGAAGGTAAAAACAAGCTGACACAGTCATACTTTAGCGGCTTTAAGAATCCCACCTTCACCATCTGGAGATAAATGTGTAATGAGGCAGCCATAACTCCCACATCCCTGTCGCAAAGTGCTTTTCGGAATTTGTTATGGATGTGCTGGACTTGGTTGGGAGCAATAAGGTAGAACTTGTACAGTGCTTGAACTGCTTTCCTTCTAATGATTTCCCTAAAAATTAAAAAAAAAATGAGTTACTGGCTATTATGGATCACTAAACCTATTATCAGGGCTGCCAGGTCTGGGTTGGGAACAATGCTCCCTCTAAGCGGTGGCGTCTTGTGAGCAAAAATTCTCCTTTGTGAGCTGCTGGCATTAAAGTTGTGAGCGAGCGATTTGGCTCCTGCATAAATCAGTTTGCTCTGGAGCCATCCTTCCTGAGCCGAGGCAAAAATGTGTGAGCCGGAGGCTAAAAAAACTGTGAGCTGGCTCACACTAACTCAGCTTAGAGGGAACATTGGTTGGGAAATACCTGGAAATTTGGGGGGGTGGAGCCTGGGGAGGGTGGGGTTTGGGGAGGGACAGGACCTCAGCAGGATACAATGTCCTAGAGGCCACCCTCCAAAGCAGCCGTTTTCTCCGGGGCAACTGATCTTGGTCATCTGGAGAACAACTGCTGGAGGTTGGCAACTCAAAAGGTTTCCCAGAAATCCCTTTTTGAAAACAAATTCTTACTTTGAATGCTGGAGCTTGTCTTCCACTAGCGGAAGTTAGCAGGAATCATTTCCCGTGGAAATATCTGACTTGCCACAGTAAGAGCCATGCATACTTCCATGAGGTTAGTGCTCTGCAAATCCTGCCAGGGGCATGAGAAGAGTCATTTTTCCTCCCAACATTGGAAATCTAACATTAGAGTATAAATTAAAGATGCATAATGCCAGAGAGATTCATACTGTGTCTTTCACAAGTCAAAATTAAATATTTTGGCTCAGAACACAGATAAGTAACCCTGCATGCTTCACTTCCTCCCTATACCCAAGAAAACAGATGCCCTTTACTAAAAAGTAGAAGTGTGCGTGTAACCCATGTATGTATTATGCAGGAAAAACCTGACTCACCAAAAACCTTAATGTCATTCTCTCTCACTCATCCCAGATTTCCCAGTTTCATTTTTTTTCATATTACGTTAATTAAGAACCAGGTCTCCTCCAACATTAATCAAAGCATCACAATAAGGTAGATAAATTATCTGTTTGTCAAACTTTATTTTCTTTAAGGAAGTCCCAGTAATACAACCTTATCTGCTCGAAACAGTTTACTACTAAAACAAGAGTAGGTAACATCATGTATATGAAATCAAATACTTTACACATCTAGATTAAAAACATAAACGTAAAAGAACAAAGTATTTCCATTATCGACTACTATTCGATGTTTTCCCATATGCAACATAAATAAACCACTGTAATTCTTTGGCTTGCAATTTGTAATTTTCCAAAAAGCTTACAAATAAGCCCGTATTTATATAGGTCATGGTCCCTGATTTTTTGCAGCTTTTATCTGTTCTGAGAGATCCTCCACTCTCATAAGCTCCCGTATTTTATCCATCCATACCTTACAGACATGGAGCTATTTTCAGTCATCGAATGGAACTGATGCTTTGCAAAAAAAAAAACACTTAAAACACAATGTACTTTGTTAAGAGAACGCAAAGCAGCCTTCAAAAGAGTCTTGAGTTTATCAATAAGAATGACTCTTGAAGGTCCTCACACCCACAGAAGGACCCTCACAAGCAAAATACGTAATTTAAGACCTCACTTTAAATTTATAGAAAATGTCAATTAAACCATGTGATTCATTAAGGTTCCAGATAATAAACAAGAGCTTATTTTAAAATGTGCATGCAATGCTCTGAGTTATACTTAAAAAAAATACACTCAGATCCGAGGTCAGTGTGATGTCTACCTCCAGACCTCCCATTAAACTATACCTTCACTACGGTGTTCACAAGCAAAAGCAACAGCTCGTGATTCTCATGAAGAAACAAAGAAACTGCCAAGTAGCCTAAAAAAGAGAAAGAAAAAATGAATTGCTACAGTCCACACTCTCTCTCTAATCCATCAGACAGCGACAAAAGACGTTTAAAAATAAATTGCTTGTTCAAAGTGTGAGTTAAAACTTTAGTAGGATGGAATCTAACTTATGAAAACCAGTGAACTTATCAGCTGTCAAAGAATGGGTTCAAGAACTAGCGCCAATTGGCAGGGAGTAATTCTATCAAACAAGTACTGATGGAAATAAAGCAGTGGTTCATCTAGCCCAGTATCCTGTTAAGTTTCAGTGGAACATAAGAGAAACCACACTGGATCAGGCCAACGGCCCATCCAGTCCAACACTCTGGGTCAAACATTGACCAAAACCCAGGTGCCATCAGGAGGTCTATTGGTGGGACCAAAACTCCAGAAGCCCTCCCACTGCTGCCCCCCAAGCACCAAGAATACAGAACATCACTGCCCCAGACTCATAGCATGATCAAAATATGGTGATCTAGTAAAAAAAAAATTAAGAGACTCCTCAATATGGGGCCATAAACTCTAGTTTACTTAGCTTCTGTACATATCCAGCTCTGAATGGAAATGGGGAAAAACCAAGCCTACGTGCCTACTTCCTTGCGAAGCCTCCTGACATGCAATGCTTTCAGATACATACCGACTCTTTTTTCAAAAAGGTTTCCTTGTTGGGCCAGCTTGATAGCGTGGATGTATCCAAACGAGGCCTCATAGCCCAGCATCTCACAATAAATAAGCCTCACCATGCATTCCTTCATCAGCCTCTGAAATAAAATAAATGAAGTATTATAAACGTTTTGGCTCACAGTGCAGCACAAACTGTCCAACTCTGAGTCTGAACCAGCCACGCCAATCAGTCCACAATGTCTACTCACCCGTAATATTTGTGTTAACTGTAGAACAATTTGTTTTAACTATTTAAAATAGCCTGGCATTTCTAACCAAAGTGGGTGACAATATATGAAAATGCATAACCTTAAAACACCAAAAAAGTGTAAGAGTTAGTCACAATTAACACACTAGCCTGAAAAAGTCAACACACAACAGGCCTGGGGGAAATTCTTACTTGTTAAAGGCAATCAGTAGAAAAGAGCAAGAGTCCAGCAGGACCTTAAAAGACTAACAAAATTTGTGGAAGGGTGTGAGCTTTCATGAGTCACTGCTCACTTCTTCAGACGCAGCTAGAAATCATCGAGTAGGCCTGATGGGCCAATGCAGGCTGCCCTGCTGATCAGTAGAGGACACAGTTTCGGCACCAAAAACTGAGCCTGCTTCTTTTTTTTCTTCTTTTTAAAAATATTTTGTTTATTAAATTTTCCACATTTTATATACAGAAAAGGAAAAAACATAAACAGCTCTAAGCCGTAATTTCTTTTTGCAGATATCCTCAAATCATTTAAAATAAATATCCCATGCACTCTACCATTTGCCTTATTCAGTTAATTTAAACCAAATTTTGACTCTTTCAACCAATTATAAAATTTAACCAATACTTTTCAAATTTCTCCTCACTTTTTTCTTCAATAATACAAGTTAATTTTTCCAACTCTGCTATTTCGAATACTTTATAAATAATCTCCTCTTTGGACGGAATATTCTCCTCCTTCCATTTCTTGGCAAGTACAATTCTCGCTGCTGTCAAGATTTGCATTATTAAATATATCTCTTTTCTCATAAAAGTATCAGGTATCACATTTAATAAAAAGCATTCTGGGGTCATAGGAATGTATTTACCTATTATATTATCCAACATTTCTTTCACTAGCCACCAATATTTTTTAACTTTAAAGCATGACCACCACATGTGATAAAACGTGCCAATACCATGTTTGCATTTCCAACAATACTTTCCTAATTTCTCATTAAATTTTATTCAATCTGGCGGGGGAGATATGAGCCTGCTTCTTCATGATCCAAGCCAGGCGATTCATGGACTGTGGCTCCCTCCAGGAGCTCTGCCGCAGCGGGACGGCTGGGCAAGCGGGTTTGCAGAGATTTCCTACTCTGCTGCCTGGGGATCACCTCCCCCAACTCTTCCTCAGAGGAGGTCCCATGGTCGGAGATCAGCAGGCAAAACGCAACCAGCCTCGGGAAGACAGAGGCCAGAAGAACAAACGTTTGTTTTTTACACAAAGGGAGAGGCACACAGAAAAGCACACACCTGGAAACAGAAAACAAAGTGCAACCAAAGGAGCTCCTTAAAGGAATATCTCAGGAGTTCTCTAAATCCACTGCTCTCTCAGACGGGGGCAGGAAAAAGACTGAAGGTGGGCTTCTCCTCCCCCCAGAGATGGAAAGTGCAATCAATTTCCTGCCTCCAGGGGCTCTAGGAAGAGGAATCCAAACCTGTCAGAGTGTCCTCCTCCCCTCGAGAGAGAACTCAGTTTTACTTTTAGCACTTACCAGGGTTGTAGTGGGTGCAGAAACTGTTGCTTTCAAGCTAGTTAATTCCTGTTGGATTAATTTTTCTTCCTCCTGACAAGGAACAATAAGAGGCACTTTAAATCATTCCATAAAATATGCTGGGCAAAGTAGCAAAAATGGCATCCTGTCACATCGGGCAAAGATTATCCCTGCATACTATAACCTCTGTATCACGGTCGTCTTCTTTTTTTAAAACATTTTATTTTCATTTTTTACAAATAACATGGTCTTCTGATGTATAGAATTACACTGAATTGCTACGTGCAATCTGACTGAATTTTTTAAAAGATAGGAGTCAGCTATACAGACAGCATCCACCTACTGGGGTTTCTCCACAATGATCATTCAGGGGAGGGGCTGTGGCTCAGTGGTAGATCATCTGCTCAGCATGCAGAAGGTCCCAGGTTCAATCCCCAGCATCGCCAGGTGACTTAAAAGTCCTTCAGCTGAGACCCTGGAAAGCCGATGCCAGTCTGAGCGTGCAATAATGACTCTGATGGACCAACAGTCTGATTAAGTATAAAGCAGCCTCATGTGTTCCTCATCACCCCACAAGGACAGTAATCTAAGCCTGCAAACTCAAACAGGAATCCAGTAGCATCTACAAGTTTTATTCCAGCAGAAGTCAAGTCAGGCTGCTTTCATCAGATGCAAAAAAGGTACATCCACTTGGCTACTACCCCTCTGCACAGCACACTGATCCAATCACACCTGCTATTGTCATTTGCCTGCTAATGTCATTCAGCATCTGAAATCACTCCACTCCACAAGGTATAAGGACAGACAGACTCACATTCTAGCTGTATCTGAAGAAGTGAGCAGTGGTTCAGGAAAGCCCAGACCCTGCCACAAATTGTGTTGGTTTTTAAGGTGTTCTGGGACTCTTGCTCTTTTCAGAACTGAAGAAGCGAGCAATGACTCACGGAAGCTCCTATCCTGCCACAAATATTGTTAGTCTTTAAGGTGCTACCAGACTTTTGCTCTTCTGCCAGCCCAGAATCTTGGGCTCCTGCTCTTATCCATTTTGCTGAGACACTTCCATTAAAGGCTGCAAACAGACAGGATGATAAAAGGCAACTCTGCCTCCCAAAAGCTTATACTGGCCTCAAATTGCATAAGGTCTGCAAGGTGCCCCTGGACTCCCCTCTTACTTGAAAGTTTCTCCAGGTCTAATCCGTGTGGAGTTAGAGCGGCAGACTAGGATCTGGGGGACACAGTGCGAATCCCCAGTCCCCTGCCATGGAAGCTTGCTGTCATGGAAGCTTGCCAGTCTCTGCATCACCTACCTCACAAGGCTGTTGTGAGGATAGTATCCGGGGGGGGGGGCTCATGAGGGAGGGAGGCAGAGTATGTCTGATGATTTCCCTGGCTTATGGGGAAGCTCCTACCCTGCCACAAATATTGTTAGTCCTTAAAGTGCTACCAGACTCTTGCTCTTCTTCTACTGCTACAGACAGACAGCTACCCATCTTGATCTATCCCCATGGAAGGCACTTTTAGCTATACAGAATGGAAATCCATCAGGGTTGTAAAGAAACTTGCACAAGTACAAACAGACATAATCTTTCTCACCAAATGCAAAAGACTTAACATTATACCAAAGGGACTGGGAATAAAAAATCCACCACAATCCTTATCTGAAGAAGTGAGCAGCAACTCATGGAAGCTCCTACCCTGCCACGAGTTTTGCTGGTCTTTAAGGTGCTCCTAGACTTTTGCTCTTTTTAGATCTGAAGAAGTGAGCAGTCACTCAGGAAAGCTCCTACCCCTGCCACAAATCTTGTTAGCCTTTAAGGTGCTCCTGGACTCTTGCTCTTTTCAGATCTGAAGAAGCGAGCAGTGACTAGGACCGATTTCACACAAGAGCTGCGCTTGTGCCTCCCTTTGCTCCGCTTCTATTGGTCAATTTCCCACTCGAAGCCGTACTTTGACCCACAGCTTCGCCCAATTTTCCCCGCGGTTTCGTGATCCTCAAAAAACAGGATCACGAAACCGCGGGGGGGAATCGGGCGAAGCCGCGGGTCAAAATGCTGCCATGCGGCTTAGAGTGGGAAATTGACAATAGAAGTGGGGCAAAGGGAGGCACAACCATGGCGCAACTCTTGTGTGAAATTGGTCTCACAAAAGCTCCTTCCCTGCCACAATATTGTTAGCCTTTAAGGCGCTCCTGGACTCTTGCCCCTTTCAGATCTGAAGAAGTGAGCAATGGCTCATGGAAGCTCCTGCCCCTGCCACAAATATTGTTAGCCTTTAAGGTGCTCCTGGACTCTTGCTGTTTTCAGATCTGAAGAAGTGAGCAATGGCTCATGGAAGCTCCTGCCCCTGCCACAAATATTGTTAGCCTTTAAGGTGCTCCTCTGCCAGCCAAAGCTAAGAATACTGGGCATGATAATATTCTGACGCAATAAAAGGCAGTTTTGAATGTGTATGGCAAAAATGGGATGAAGTCCAGTTTTCACTCCCCCCAAGCAAAATGAGTATAACTGATCTGCATATACTGAACTTCAATGTTACAAGATTCTATTGATGGATTTTTATTTATGGATTTATGCTAGGGCTTAGGTACAAAGTAGCCTGTGCAATGCACACATAGTGCAACACACCTATAGAAAATCTTACTTTATTATATGCCACCTTTCTACCCAGTGGGGACGCAAAACGGATTGCAGTGTGTTCTCCTTTCCTCTGTCTTCGCCATATAAGTCAGGGAAGTCATCAGACATAAAGGGGCCCCTTCTCATCCTCCCCCCCCCCCCCTTTACCATCGCCTTCCCCTTTGGTGGTGATTCTAGAAGCCGAGGCCGACAGCTTCGCCGACAACGAAGCCCGCTCGCGACGGGGTCCTCCTCCCGAGGCAGCCCCAGCCCGGCTCGCCCCTCTCCCCACGTACATGCTTGGAGGTGAGCGCGGTGATGCTCCGGATGAGCCCGCCGAGCCGCGAGGTGGCCGAGCCCCTGCCGGGCCCTCCTCCTCCTCCTGCCGCGCCGCCGCCGCCTCCTGCGCCGAGCCCAGCCCCCGGCTCGTTTTTAACAGACCGGAGCCACTGAACACATGAAACTGCTTTATATTGAATCAATCCGCCCGGTCGGCCGCCGCCGCCTCCTCACGCTCACTTCCGGGCTCCTCCTGAGGAGGCCGAGGGGAAGGGCGCGCGTGTTACTCGAGAGTAAACTCGAGAGTGGGGCTTCTTTCCGATTAGGCGGGCCGACCGGCCGGCCTACGCTGGAGCGCTGAGGGAAGGAAAGGGAAGGCCCGTCCTGAGGGGAAAACAGGCCGCAGGCGGCCTGAGGAGATTTCCCCGCAGTCCCCAGAATGGTTTACAAATGCATGGAGTTAAATTTAGGGTTGCCAGCGCCCGGGTGTGGGCTGGAGATATCCCGAAGTTAGAGCTAGGGTTATTTGAAAAGGGAAAAAAGAGGATATCTTTCCCGACTGACTGCTTCTAACAAATGGTCACTATGACAAATCTCCTTTTAAATACCCGTACTATTTCAGCCGTGGTCAATGCTACTCGCTAGGAACATTCCTAACCTTCCAACCCAAAAAAGAGAGCATTTTCATCAGTGTTTTTTAAAAAGAGCCCCAAAAACAGAGAGAGAGAGAAGACATCTGGTAACCCTATTACAGCTGATCTCCAGCTGTTTGTGTGTTTAAAATATTTCTTCCACTTCTAGAGAAAATGACTGCTTTGGAAGGTGTCTTGTGTGGCATTATATCCTATGCGGGCCCAGCCTCTCCCATGCGCTATCCTCAAATCTCCAGGTATTTCCAGTTCCAGAGTTGGCAACCCGGTGCAGTGAGCCCCTAAAAAGATGACTGAAGCTGACCTGTGTGTAATGGGGTGGGCTGGGGGCTACACAGCCAGGGGGTTTACCATGTTATTTTGCAGTGTGTGTGTGTGTGGTAGTGTAAAAATGGTTTGTCCAGATTCTCTGGAGGGGCAGCATATACATTCAATTTAAATTTTGAAATAGATTTCTAAATAAATAACAATATGTAGCCACTGACCCGCCTTGTCAAAAAGGTTTTGTCATGCATCAGTCCCTCCTCGTGTGTAGTCAAAACTGTGTAAATGGGCCAGATATTGAGCTTTGAGATGGCTCTGTCTAAAGGGGAGGGTTTGTTGTAGGTCTGCCTCTAATATGGGGTTTAAAAGTGTGTTAAAATGGTCATCTATTTCTGTTTGTTTAGAGTCAACCTTACTGTGACTCATAACTAGCTCATCCTGCTAAATGGAAAGGTAGGTTTACCACAGATCTTCCCTCGGTGCAGTCTGCATTTAAACCTCTCTGTCATCATGCCAAGGTGGATTTTAGCACTTGTATACATCTCTAGCATGGCAAAATATGTTAACAAGGGATGATAATGTGGCACAGAGCCAGTGTAGTGCTTACGGTGTCAGACTAAGGTCTGCGAGACCCAGGTTCAAATCTCCATTCTCTCATGGAAGCTTGCTGGGTGACCTGGGGCCAGCCACACAGGGTTCTTGTGATGGAAAAGTAGAGGAAAGGAGAACACTGTAATCTGTTTTGTGTCCCCACTGGAGAGAAAGGTGGCATATAATAAATAAGATTTTCTATAGGTATGTTGCACTATGTGTGCATTGCACAGGCTACTTTGTACCTAAACCCTAGCATAAATCCATAAATAAAAATCCATCAATATAACCTTGTAACATTGAAGTTCAGTATACGCAAATCAGTTGTCTCATACCCATTATTTTGCTTGGGGATAGTGAAAACTGAACTTCATCCCATTTTTGCCATACACATACAAAACTGCCTTTTATTGCGTCAAAATATTATCATGGCCAGGATTATTAGCTTTGGCTGGCAGAGGTTCACCAAGATTTTGGGCTGCAGATTTCTCCCAGACCTGCTGTGCTACCTTGTTTATATATTCTACTGGTTTGGGCTGTTGACTTGTCTAATGATCTTGATAGGTTTTGCTTTATGGCTTTAGATGCAAGCAGACAGGTAGCATACACCTTTCTTAATTCAATACTCCTAACTGGAGATGATGGGATTGGATCTGGAACTTTCGACAATTAAATAGTAATGTATAATTTATCCGTAGAAGCAGGAAGTGGAAATAAATTTGATTCTGCAGACGAGATGTGTCTACTCTGCACATTGCAGCATAATGCATGTCTTCTTTCCCTGCTCAATAGGTAATGTTCTAGAGTTGCCAGCTCTGGCTTGGTAAATCCCTGGAGATTTGGTGGGAGAAGATAGGGGAGGGGAGGGACCTCAGCAGGGTATATGCCATGGATTCTACCTTCTAAAAGCAGCCATTTTTTCCAGGGGAACTGATCTCTTGTTGGCTGGAGATCAGTTGTAATTCCAGGAGATCTTCAGCCACCACCTGGAGGTTGGCAATCCTGTGTATGAACCAGCCCTGGTGCAGATTTAAGAAATGTAGAATATGAAATTAAGATTCTAAGGAATTATAACTGTGTTTAGGGCAGGCTGTGGAAGATCAGTAGTTCAGCAGTTCGAGACCCGGGTGCCGCATGATGGAGTGAGCTCCCATCTCTAGTTCCAGCTCCTGCCAACCTAGCAGTTCGAAAGCAAGAAATTGCAAGTAGATAAATAGGTACCACTTCGGTGGGAAGGTAACAGCGTTCCGTGCGCCTTGGTGTTTAGTCATGCCAGCCACATGACCACGGAAACGTCTTCGGACAGCGCTGGCTCTTTGACTTGGAAACGGAGATGAGCACCGCAACCCTAGAGTCGGATTCAACTGGCTTTCGAGCAAGGGAACCTTTACCTTTTTAAGCAGTTGGTTAAATGGTTCCGTTAACCATACCCATAACCACTTGCTATAAATTAGCTGGTAATTAAGATGCACCTGGAATTATGATCTCTGTTCAAATTCTGCCTCTGTTGGAGTCAAAAACCACTGTATGAGTTGTTCAGCCTTTTCACATAACATCTGGCTACACTAAGCTTGTTCCACAAATCCTAAAACTTGCAATAAAATGTACGAAGTGGTGACATGTCAATTTTTTTAAGAAGGGCAAGATAATTTATTTATTTATTGTACTTATAGTCCACTTTTCTCCATGAGAATCAAAGTGGATTAAATAATGTACATTGGTCACATTCCATGCGAAGAGACCTCTAATAAGCACAGTGTATGTCAATGCAATCAATATGAGAAGACATCTAATGAGCAATCTACCAGGATTACCAAAATCTGAATAAGCATAGCATATTAGGCATGATACAGAGTGAGCTGGCCTTGGCTGGGAGGGTGGGGTACAAGTTGGAAAATAAATAAGATATAGTGAAGACAATTGGTCTTGCATCAGTAGAAAACGGTGAAATGACAACAGGGTAATATGTGCAGCAAATTGATTATACATGCTAAACACAGTGGTATGATCTACAGTCCCTTTCTGTTTATAAAACGTCTTCATGAACTATTCTGATGAATTATTCTGACAAAGGAAGCTTTGACCTTTGAAAGTTTATACCCTGAAAATCTTGTTGGTCTCTGTGGTACTACTGGAAATGGACCCAAATCTAACTGTTCTGCTACAGGCCAAGACAGCTACACTCTGAAACGGAACTATTCCATTATGATATAGTCCTTGGAAGCTAATCAGGGTCAGCCCTGGTTAGTAATTGGATGGGAGACCACCGAGGAAGTCCAGGGTTGCAGAAACACAGAGGCGGGCAATGGCAAACCACCTCTCAACATCTTTTGCCTTAAAAACTCCATGGGATCCCTAGAAGCTGTGACTTGATGACAAAAAAATATTACTTTTGTAGAAAAGCTCCCCTGAAGAACTCCGCTTTTACAATGTTTGCAAAGTGATAGCATCGGAGTCCAAGAGCAAAGGACAGGTATGTGATTTTTTTTCTTCTGTTACTGATCCCTGGATCGGAGTGATTATCACATGAGCATCGTACATTTCCTTTAAGAAAAGCCAGCTGTCACATTTGTAAAATGTGGATCCTGTACAGGTTAAGAAGGAAACCTAAATAGATCGTACTGCTTATAATTTGTACCACTTAAAGGTATTGTTTTACAATAGTGATACATTCAACCCATGTTGTAATTCTGGCAGATGGAAGACTTTAATATGGGGTATTTGGAACACTGTGTCATCATGCTCAATATTGACGATGCTGCCAAAGACATGAATAGATATTGAGATACCAGAAGGTGGCACCAAAACACAGCTTTCTAAATAAGAGCGACTAGTGGGTTCTCAGGATTCTCTAGGAAGCCTGCCATGCTGCAGAAACTGCTGAATCAGATCAGTAATGTTGGGCAAGGTGTCTCAGTTCTGCTGATTGTCCCATGTGATTCAGTTGTAGCATGAATTGGGTGTCTTTTGTGGTGTGGTGCTTAGTTTTCATGAGGAAATGGCGAGGCCCGTTGGATTGCAAACAGGTAGCCATGTTAATCTATTGCAGCAAAATAAAACGCAAGTGCAGTGGCACCCTAAAGACTAACAACAGTCATTAAAACGAGCTATCATGAGTCACAGCTCACTTCTTCAGATATGTAAAGACCCAGGCACCTGGTCAGGGCAGTCCTAAGGAGAGTTACATCCTTTCAAGTCCACTATAGTTAATGGGCATAGAAAGGTGTTGCTCTGTTTAGGATTCCACTATATGTGAGTTAAGGGCACTTTAAAAAGCAGTGTAGAAAGACTGTAACGTACAAAGATTCATGACAGACCCACAGGGACTCCTTAGTAGTGCAATCGATGTGGAAATAACTGTGGGTCGGAGTGTCTGCTATATCATCTGATCCACATGAAACTGAGCACCAAAACTGAGCATCATCTGTATATTTGTGCCGGAAGAATTCAAATATCTGAATATCCTCACCTAGTGGTTTCATTTAGATGGTTAAAAAGATAGTACCTCAGAGGATCTTCATAACATAAATGCCATTGGGCAGAACAATTTTCCCCTCACACTCACACACACCCTTTCGAACCGGGGGGGGGGGGGTAATAACCAAAGTGCAGTGTTTTCCGTTCCAACTATTGATAAGCAGTCCAGAAGGATATTACTGAAAGCTGCCAATAAATAGAGTAGAATCAGCCAAGTCACATTCCCCTTATATCAGTACAAGTTATCCATCAGGGTGGCCAATACAATTTCAGTTCCATCACCATATCAGAAACCAGATTGAAATAGGTCCAGACAAGACGGGGACCCGCGATACTCGCGGGGGGGGGGAGAAGAGCTCCGTCGCCCGGCTCCAAGGCGGAGGCGGCGGTGGAGAGGCCAGTCCTTCCCCCCCTTTGCCGGGCTCGGCAGTGAGGCCGGTCCTCCGCCCGCCCGGCTCCGAGGAGGCGGCGGCGGCGAGGTCAGCTACTTTCGGGGGGATTTAAACATCCCTCCGAAATTTTTTTCTACTTTTAGCATTTTTGTGCACACGTGGGGACTGGCCCACGTGTGCACAAACCTCCCCTCCCCCCCAAGTGCCCCCGGAGCGCTGATTTAGCGATCCGCACTCCGGGGGCAACTTGGCTATTAGATATATAGATAATCATATAACGACCTAGTTCTAGATGCATCTTGTATTTACACTGAATTCAGTGTCAGAACAGAAAAGTTGTGAATGATAATATCTGTAGAGTGCAGAAATAAGAAGTCACAGAGGACCAATGAGGGCTTGAACTAGTCATTCTGGGACTCTGTGTATAAAAGCCCCATCAACACCTGGAAAATCTCTTAAGTAACACTGATTATACACGGTGGTAGAACAAAATTTGAGTCCAGTGGCACCTTTAAGACCCAACAAAGTTTTATTTAAGGTATGAGCTTTCATGTGCATGCACACTTCCTCAGATACAGTGAAATGGAACTTATCAGTCCATACATATAGGCAGAGGTTGAGCAGTAAATCAGCGTACAACATAATAAACATATCAAAATCAAGAAAAAGCTTGGTTTATATGGTTACCGTTTAACACAATGGAGATGTTTTAACAGATGCAGAAACCGAACCGAGATAACTAGTCCACATGGTCATCATTTGTTTGGATTCTGGTAAGTTCCATTTCACTGTATCTGGGGAAGTATGCGTTCACACGAATGCTCTTGCCCAGAATAAAACTCTGTTAGTCTTAAAGGTGCCCCTGGACTCAAACTTTGTTTTGCTGCTTCAGACCAACACGGCTGCCCACCTGGATCTATACACAATGGTGGCAGAGAAGCAGTATCTACAGCAATGTAACAAAGCCAAATATCAAATATTTCCCTATTGATTTAATACCCAGGCTGATCTGATTTTGTCAAATCTTGGAAGCTAAGTAGGGTTGGCCCTGGTTAGTACTTGGATGGGACTGGAGACCACCA